GTTAAACCAGATGCTCTGGGGGGAGTTGAGGCCAGGCACTGGTACTTCTAAAATGCTCCCCATGTGATTTGAAGGTGCACCCAGGCTTGAGAACTATCACTTAACTGCAATTATAATCATCAATTATTTTAACCTAATAATGATCAATTATTACAGCTCCCCCACCAGCATGTATTGACCTGAGAGTTAGCTATAGGTAGTCATTGTCTCAAACCTTTTTTTTTTTTTGGCCACTAATTCTTACTAAAGAGTTTCAGTTTGTTATTAAGTTTTACCACACAAAGATATTTCTATGGCATAGTGGTTCAGAAGATGTGATTTCTGAAATATATTCTCTCTAGGGGAACCATCTATTTGTAAAAGTGCAGAACCTGGTTGCCTTTACTCATGGAGAGTCCCTACACTTTGATGAATGGAGTCACTTGGTTGTTTATGGATATTTTATAGACCATATAGATCCAACCACAGATTAACAAAAAATAAAAGTTTTCCTCCTCTAATGTATCTTTATAGATCATATAGATCTAAACACATATTAAAAAATAAACGTTTTCCTCCTTTAATGCAATGGTGTAGTGCCTTCTTTTTTCATCTGAGCGAAAAGACAAGGTTAGGTCCTCAGTCATTTTATGACAGTGGGATGCAATTTTGGAACACAAATAGATGCAGCTGAGATCCTTTTACTGCTCTTTCCGCTCAGCTCAGGTGAAATACTCATTTTCAACCTTGCTGTCACTCCCGACAGTGATTGCCGTCTAAATCTATTATTATAGCTTCTGTCTTCCGACCTTGATATCCTCTAACTGCCCACTTTTCTCCTGTTCTTCAGCTGCGTTCTAATCTTTGCTCTCTCGGGTTGGAATTCCCCTCCTTCACCTCCCTGATTTCTGTCTCTGCTTTTCTTTTCAAAATGCCGTGCTGATATCACCTTTCCAGCTTTGTCTAGCTTACCCCATTCTTAGAAATACTCATTGCTTCACAAGAAACATTTACAGCTCTCACGTGGATTCTTCTGTAACCATTAAACTCTTGAAAAGCAAAGATATCAAAAATATTTACATGTTGGCTTTTTTAAAAAATCACAAATGATAACAACACACTGTAAATATCTTTACAAATCTAAATCAGGTTCCTGCAAAGCAATTAACCATAGTGCCTTTCCAATTACTCTAAAAGACCTCTGCCAATGAAACGGTATGCGCTTTTCTGGGTTCTATAGCACCTTCTTTAATAGCATCTTCCTCTGTGGTTCTAATTCCACCAAACCCTCATTTATCACTTTGTGTCTAACAAGAATCTGTTGAGACAGGAAACTTCCTTTCCTCAGGGAGTAGGGCTTCGCAAATGTTAACATGAATAAAAATCACCTGGGGGGGTCTTAATAAAACTCAGATTCTGATTCAGTAGGGTCGGCTGGGGCCTACGATTCTACCTTTGCAAGCAGCTCCCAGATGATGCGGCTGCTGCTGGTCAGGGAAACACTATTTCAGGGAACTTCTTAGCAGCTTTGGTGCTCGCCCCATACGTTGTATCACCAAAGATTTCCTTAGGCTCAACTAATATGGTCTCAAAAAATCAACTCTCGGCTGGGCGCGGTGGCTCATGCCTGTAATCTCAGCATTTTGGGAGGCCGAGGCAGGCAGATCACTTGAGGTCAGGAGTTCGAGACCAGTCTGGCCAACATAGTGAAACCCTGTCTCTACTAAAAATACAAAAATTAGCCAGGCGTGGTGGCGGGAGCCTGTAATCCCAGCTACCCAGGAGGTTGAGGCAGGAGAATCGCTTGAACCCAGGAGGTGGAGGCTGCAGTGAGCCAAGATTGCACCACTGTGCTCCAGCCTGGGTGACAGAGGCAGACTCCGTCTTAAAACAAAACAAACAAACCCCAAACAAACAACAATCAACTCTCAACCAATTCCTGAATTAAGATTAGGTCAATAGCTTCCATATTGATGTTGGTTCTCAAACTGTACTTAAAAGCTTTTCTTTTTCTTTTTTTTTTTTTTTTTTTCATTTTGCCAATCCATCTTCCTAGTTTCTGACTGAAACTAGGTTACTTATGTAAACACGACATGTCATTTGCTTCAACTCTTGGTCCTTAATCATTCCTCCTGAGCAACTCATTTACAACAGTAGTTATTTTCTAATTTTTTTTTAACATTTACTTTTTAAATCATAAATTATCTTTTTATTAGCACTTTTAAAACTTTCACTGTTTTTGAATTTAATAGACATGATGGGATTAAGAATGTTCAGAAAGCACCTCAAACACAAACATGCCACAGACTAATAAACAATGCATTGGTCAAGACAGAAATGATCAGTCACAACCAGTAAAGCTATTTTTTAGTGACAGGCAAGAGTCTTTTTGAGTGGATTTGGTGCTTTGTTGGAATGTATGAAACTTAGTAAATTGAAAGCTTATGTGTAGAGTTTAATTAAATAAAAGAAAAAATACGTTATATTTCCCAGTACTTGTGGTTTTCAAATCTATTAGATAATAACGGACCTGTCTCTGATCATTTGATCACTTGCTTTGTACCAGGCACTGTTTCTGAAAGGTAGAAGAAGGCTCAATAAACAGCACTCCTCTTTCTTATTTGTCTGAGCAAACTGAGAAATAAAACAATAGAGTCACCATAAAGAGGCCAAAACATCACTTTTATTTCTAGGAAGACTGATGGAACACATGGCTTATATTCATGGGCAAGCAGAACTTCTAGTGCCCAGTCACAAAAAGCATGGGGTTGCCCTTCAAGCCTGTCCTTAGGTAGCAGAATGAATGCTCTTTGTTGGAAGTTTTCACTCAACAAAAAGAAAGGACGATGAGACCAAGCTCCTGACTTCCTAGCTCACTAATCATCATAGTCACCTTTTCCCCACCAGGAAAGGCTGGGTACTTCTTTATGTTAGCAGAAGAGCTCCCTTCCCACGGAAGAAAACATCAAGAGTGCGGAAGAGGTAGTTCCCCAGCTACAAGCTAAGTCCTTTATCTTATTTAACTCCTGCAACAAAACAACATTTACTGGGTGTCTGTTATGTGCCATTCACTGTTTTCAATGCTGGGGATGCAAAGCTTAATAAGACAGCAGTTTACATCAGGGCCTGTACTTGTGCTACCCACCTTACTGGCCTCATCCAATCCCAGCCCTAACAGATCCTGTGCATTTAAAATTTTGATATTTTGTTCATCACAGATTTTTTTCATTAATTTTGAAGTTTTAAAATATCGTATTAAAATATTACTTATCTTGATTACTGAGCTTTTTGGCTCCTGTAAATTTTGTACCTGAGGTGAATGCCTTGTCTTGGCTTTAAAATAAATTTGTAAACAACTAAATTAATAACAAATAATTATTGAATAAATTTTCTAATGTGTACTAAGTTGAGAAACAGGCTACATGATAGGAAGTGACTGGGTGTGTAACTTGAATGGTAAGGAAAAATCTATCTAATGTGATGCTATTTAGGATGTGACTCTTATAAGGAGCCAGACAAGGGACAGTTTGGAGAAAAGTTTGCGAAAACACTACAGGTGGAAATAAACCTGGAATTTTCAAAGAACATACCAAAAAAAAAAAAAAAAAAAAAGAGGCTATTATGTCTTAATTGTCAAGGACATGATAGGTGACTAGTAATCAATTTGGATAGAGTGCCAGAAAAGGTTCAAATTTTAGGGCTAAGGGGGTAAGGAGTTTGAATTTTATTCCAAGTGCCCGGGAGGCAATTGGAAGATTTTAAGCAGGGGAGCAACGTGATCCAATTGATCTTTTAAATAACTCTCTCGGGCTGCTGTGTCAAGGATGGATTATAGGGGTGTGCACGGCAAAACAGTAGCATCTGGAAGAATTGTCAGTGTTCCTACTGAAAAAGGATGGTGACTTCGACCAGAATAAATATAGTGAAGATATAGAAAGAGGAGCAGGTTCCAGAAATATGTCAGGAGTAGAGTTGATTGGATTTGATGGGTTAATATGGGGAAGGAGGAAAAGAGGGGAACCAGAGGTGATTTCAAGTGTCTTACCTTGAGCAACTTGGTGGATGGTGGTGTCATTTCCTGAAATGGAAAATACAGGATGAGCAGATTAAAGGTGAACGTGCAATGAATGAAATTTTCAATTTTGTGTAGGTTGGTCTGAGATGCCTTTTGGATACATGTTGTATACATGCTTACATGAGTAAGCAACTGGTATGAATTGACGGAGAGGGAGGAAGTACAGGGCAGAGAATAGAGATGTGGGAGTCATCGATTCCTTGACAGAAGTTACAGCATGGTAATGGATAGACTCACCTATGGAACAACACATCTGGAAAAGAGCTGGGAGGCTGGGCATGTAGCCTTGGGAGTGGCTATTAAAATAGGAGAAGGGGTGGAGGGGAAGGGAGAGAGGAAGTATGGAGTGCTTAGCAAGAGAAGAATGTGTCTTAAGGATGGGATGATAAACTGCGTTGAGAGCCACTGAGAGGTAGAGAAAAAATCAGGACAGAGAAGTAATAAAAGGCACCAGCAACATGGAAGTCACTGGTGCCTCGCGAAAGACGATCACCTTTGGTGTGTAGAGCACAAAAGCCTGAGGGGGTAAAGAGAGAGTGGAAAGTAAGAATGTCGAGACAGTCGACTATTACTGCCACTTTATGAATGAAGAAACCGAGGCTCAATATTTGACTAACTCATCCAAGGTAAAGCCAGTGGGGTCAGATCCTGGACCTAGAATCCATGCAATGATTTGTGCACATCGCCTATGCAAGAGATAGATCCAATTCTCTTCCAAACCGTAAAAGCCAACACTTCCCTCAAAGGAGGCTTCGAGCTAAAGCATCCTTTCATGATGCCGCTTCCATTTTAAAGAAACAAAACAAAACAAAACAAAAACGAGAAGGCCTGGTGCGGGCTAGGAAGGAGCGGAGCAGGTACTGGCCCTCTCTGCCGGGGGAAGACCCGCCCCTTTTCCGCAGCCCGAGCCGGGCGCAGTCCACTGCGGCTGCGCGAGCCTGGCGCGCGCGGGGCGGGAACGCGGAAGGGGCTGGGGCTGCGGCGCGTAGGCGAGGAGCAGACCGGGGGCGGGGCCGGCAGTGGGAGTGCGGGGCGCGGGGCGGGCGGCGTGGGACCCAGGGGGGCGACAGAGGCAGCAGGAGCCCGAGGCCTGAGGAGAGGAGACCGGCGGCGGTGGCAATGCTGGAGACCCTGCGTGAGCGGCTGCTGAGCGTGCAGCAGGATTTCACCTCCGGGTGGGTATACGGTGGGCGACGAAAAGGGACCTGAGGGGGCCGGGCCGCGCCTGGGATGCCCCTGCCTCGCTGCCTTCCCCGCGCCTCGGTCCGGGCCCCGCCCCGCCCCGCCGAGGAAAGTAACGAACTTCCCGGCGTTCTTGCGTTGGGCGGCGCAAAGTAACTTAGGTCCCTGCGGGCCGCCTCTGACGCGCACCCCCAGGACCGGGAGGCGCTTGGCGGCGTAGCGGAGCTCCCGGGGGGTGTGGGACCCTGCGGTCCCCTCCTGGCAGCATCAGCCGGGCCCTGGAGGGGAGTCATGTGAGAAGCCAGCGCGCCTCACCGCTTCCGTCCCCGCGGCACAGTGACCTGCGCCCCTTGGCCCAGCTGACACCTGCTCGTGCGCACCTGGAGCTGAGCCCGCTGCCCTCCCTGGATCGGATCGCTCCGCGCAACAGCGCGCACCCTGCGGCCCGAGCCTTCCGCGCCGCGCCGCGTCTCGGCTTTCACGCTCGGCTCCGCGGCCTAACCCTTGGCAAAGCTGGCCGCCCCTCCCCGTTAGCTTTCTTTCTCTACCTTTGCCGTGAGCTCAGCGCCTCGGCGAAGGAACTCTTAAGCAGGAAAAGCAACAGAACTCTAGGAATGCTTTTAATACCCAGCGGTTCCCAAACTTTGCTTAGAATCACCTGGGAAACTTTCAGAGTTCTGATGCCCAGGTCTCACCCTATACCTGTTAACCATAGTGCCTGGAGACGGCGTTTCAAAGATCCCCAGGGGATTCCAATGGGCACCAACGCCTGGGAACCACAGACCGAGACTCCGGCGTCACATTGCCTAGGCATCCTGGCTCAACCACTAAACCAAACGTAGTTACTCAGCTGCCTTGCCTCAGTGTACTGTTTCCGCTACTGCAAAATGGGGATAATGATGGTACTTAAAAGGTTATTACAAGGATTAATGAATTAACATGTAAAACACGAAGTAAGCATTATGTCAGTAGTGTTACTTAGTGCGTAATTCGTTTTAATTTTTTCATTCCTTTAAAATGAAAAGGATCTTTGAAAAAGATCTTTCAACTTTAGCTTACAAATCCTGTTGGAGGATGCACTGAATGTGAGGCATTTTCACTCATACTGTTTTAAATTTCTATCCCCCCACCTCCCCACCCCCCCCCCCTTTTTTTTGAGATGGAGCCTTGCTCTGTCTCAAAGTGCAGTGGCCTGATCTCAGCTCACTGCAACCGCTGCCTCCCGGATTCAAGCAATTCTCCTGCCTCCACCTCCCGAGTAGCTGGGACTACAGGCACCCGCCCCCACGCCTGGCTAATTTTTTGTATTTTTTAGTAGAGACGGGTTTCGCAGTGTTGGCCAGGCTGGTCTCGAACTCCTGACCTTGTGATCTGCTTGCCTCGGCCTCCCAAAGTGCTGGGATTACAGGCGTGAGCCAACGTACCCGGCCCCCCCCCCCCCCCCCCTTTTTTTTTAAAGTGACAAGGTATCCCCCTGTCGCCCACGCTGGAGTGCAGTGGCGCTATCTATCATAGCTCACTGCAGCCCCCAACTCCTGGGTGCAAGCGATCCTCCCTCCTAGGCTTCCTAAAGTGGTGGGATTATAGGTATCAGTCACTGCTCCCAGCCTTGTTTGGAATTTCTAATGAGAAAGATTGTTAGCCAAAATTTTATCTTATTGGACAAGAATGTTAATACTATTTGCGTATTGGGCGTTGAATAACAACAAACTGTCAAACGCTTGAGCACTTAACACCCGTCAATCATTTTTGTTATTTTGGTGTTTAGAAAGTTAGTTATGGATGCTCAGAGTCATTCACTGATGGGTGTGCTTGCATGCTTACATTTTGTTCTCCTATTTAGTAAAAGTACCTTCTTTTCAGAGCGTAAATTATTGTATTGAAAACCTTTTGGTGTGATGCTGAAATGGCCCATTTGTAGCATGAGAGTGACCTGTTAGTACTTCATGGAATTGCTTGATGGCATAACAGCCCATCTTGTAGTTACTATAACTCTGTAAGTCACATGGTTGCCTCGGAAGCATTCATGCTCCTGACCTTTGTAAGAAGGCATTTTACCCAGGAATGTAGATTCTGGACTGGGCTCTGGACTGCCGGGGCACAAACCATCCTGGGAGATCAGGGTAACCCTAAACGTTTAGAGTTTAGTTAGGGAGAGACAAGCCAAAGGGATCTGGTTAGAACCCCTTGGAAACTGACTTGACTTCTTCAAGATGCCGTAGTCTGGGGCCATTTTGGAGCTAGACATCCTGAGAGGGCTTCATTAGGTCCTTTGTTGGCTTTCTCCTGTACACGTCACTTTCAGCTGACAAACCACTGGACTGTCTGTGCCATTAGCCTGTCACCTGGTGGAGAAATAACTCATCTCCAAGTGATGTCAGTCTCCCAGTAGACCCGTACCTCTAGTGCCTGATGTTCACTTTCTTCAGGTCCTCGATTTCCTACACCTAATCTGTTCGATTAAACTTTTCCATATTCAGCTTGAGATTGACCTACTTTACATAACTGAATATTTTTGCCATGAGGAGAAACGATGACACTAAACACAGGATTCATGTGTTTATTATATGTTGGTAATGTGGAATTCAAAGATTAAAGAGGCATGACCTGCATCGCTAAAAAAGAAACACATGACATAAATGCAATGCTGATATCACAGCTAATAAAATTAACACTAATTCTTTTATATTATCAATTATGCAGTCCATAATCAGATTTCTTTTGTTTTTAGAAATGACTTTTTGCAGTTGGTTTGTTCAAATCCAAATCAGATAAGTTTCACACATTAATTTTGTTTAAAAACCAATTTTTGAAACAGATGACTGTTAAAGAGCCACATGGGGAAGCTTTATTGAATCTTCTAACAATTTTGTTGTCCCAGCTACTTGGGAGGCTGAGGCAGGAGGATCCCTTAAGCCCAGGAGTTCAAGACAAGCCTGGGCAACACAAAGAAACCCCATCTCTTGTCTGGGCATGGTGACTCACGCCTGTAATCTCAGCACTTTGGGAGGCCGAAGCGGGCAGATCACGAGGTCAGGCGTTCAAGACCAGCCTGGCCAATGTGGTGAAACCCCGTCTCTACTAAAAAATATAAAAATTAGCTGGCCATGGTGGCGCGCGTCTGTAATCCCAGCTACTTGGGAGGCTGAGGCAGGAGAGTGTCTTGAATCCAGGAGGCGGAGATTGCAGTGAGCTGAGATCACACCACTGCACTCCAGACTGGACGACAGAGCAAGACTCCGTCTCAAAAAAAAAAAAAAAAAAAAAAAGAAACCCCATCTCTTAAAAAAGAAAGAAAAAAATGACAAAGACATGACCCCGGCCACCCAGAGCTATTTCATTGGACCTGGCGTTTCTGTAGAACACTTGGTGGCAGAGCAAGTGTGTGGAAACCAGAGCAGCTGCCTTCTAAAATAATTGGAAACGCCAGGTGTGCAGGTTGGCCCAGGGACTGAATGGAAGGCCTCAGGCATTTCTGGGCTCCTTCAATGTGGCCAGTGCAGCTCCAGCCGCCCGCTGTCACCCAGAGCAGCATCCTCTCTTCAGAGCTTCTCTGATCATTTTCACTTTCTGAAAACTCATATGAAGGCCCTAACTCTAGACAAACTTACTTTTTTTCATTTTTAGTAAAATAGGACGATTCCTTATCAGTCTCATAAGAGAATGTCACCTTGGTGGTGAAATCATGTCCAATGAGAATGAATTTCTACATTCCGTTCAAACTTAGAAAAAGTACAGCTTAAGGTCATTATTCTTTAAGGGCAGTGTAGAGATTACTGGTGGTTTGGGAGGAACTCTAGGTTGTCCATGGACTTATGGCCTTTTTTGTAAATTTTTATGCATAGTAACAATTATGTCAACATTGAGAACAACTAGTGATTACATCACATTCTTTCTGCCTTAATTGGGTGGTAGGCCAGCTGAAGGCTACAGACTGAAGAAGACTGGTTCTGAGCTTCACTCAAAGATCTTTTCCCCTCACCTAAAGTGAGTTGTAATTTGCTTTAACTGAGTCAGAATTCTTGGAGCTTTTTGGAGAGTTCACATAAAATATCCCTTTTTACAGAGATTGGCTTGAGCTCTCGGGGAGACTTTTGGACATACCGAAGTACATGCTTCGAAGCCACTCTGGTCTTTGACTTTTACCTTTTGAGCTGTTATGACCAAAGGCCTCAGGATTGAGGTATTTGACATGCAAACCCTTCAGGGAACTGAAAATCGGATTTACTGATGGGTTTACAGCTGGCTGTCACAGGCTGGTGTTTCCTGTTTGTGATGCACTGGGTTCCTGTGGTTAGGGATAAAAAACCTGCTACTGTTGCAACTAGACAGTGGGTGTTTCTCCCTCAAAGCCCTCACTGCCCCCGCCCCCCATCTCCGCCCCTGCCCCCCACCTCCACCCTTGCGAGGTGTCCTCATTCTCTCTTCTTCTGTCCTTGTAGTGTCTACCAAAACCTGCACAAAATGGGAGGAGCCAGTCATCTAAACCACCATGTGTTAAATGGTGAAGTGTTGCTTGAAATGTTGACTTTTCCAGGATTAACCATCTTCTTAATAAAATGAAAAGAATCTTAATATTCAACTTGATTTAATAGATTTAATAAAGATCTACTGAGTTCCTATTAAGTGCCAGTGCCAGACACTAGACTGGGCACTCAAAGTGTGCTTTTTCTTGGAAGCTAAAAAAAGATTTGAGAGCCCATATGCTCAGTTTTTCCTAGTCTTTCCTAAGCAGTGTCTATATATTGGGCCAGATCCTGCAGGTACAAAGGTGATTAAAACAGTCTCTGCCCACCAGATGCCCTAGACTGGTGCTGATGTAAAGCAAAGCAGAATGAACAGAATGTTAAATATACAAATAGTGTGGTATGTGAGTCTGAAGGAAGAGTCATTAGTTAGGATACATTTACAGAAGGCTTCAAAGAGGAGGGGGTTTCTAAAACTAGGCCTTGAAGAATTAGGAGAAATTGCAATAGATTTGGATAAGCGCATT